AACAAGATAGCAGTTACACATGCATTATGTTTATTAATCCTTCACAATCCAGGCGACAAGTTAAACTTATAAATATCATTAAACCTTTCAAATATTCATTTTATAACAAAAATAATACATAACTAACTAAAATGTAAATGTAAAACCAAAATGCAATTTAACTATCTACCAATCTAATATGTATAAGATGAGAAAGTATATGCAAATGCTAGGGATCCCACACTCAACAATGTACTAAACTTGGTTTCCACATTATAATACAAAATCCATACAGTGCTAAAGTTTCTTCTCTAAGTTACACAATTAGAGAGAAATGTGCTCTTTCTAAGCAACAATTTAAATTTGAATGGCATGCTTATAAGCAACGGCAACAAAGCTTCGATTTCTCAGGTAGACCTGGCTGACCTTAAACTTAGAAAGAATTTACAGTGGTTTTCAGGGGAGAAGAAAATTTTCAAACATTTCCAGACAATAATAAAATATGCCTGTATAGTGGACTTTGACAGTTTAACCTATCAGTCTATGTTAAGTACTCACATTTGTTTGTATAAGGGCTCTTAAAAGTTGAGAATTGTAACGTCGAGTGGATCACATGACAGCAAAAACTGCAGTTTTAGATGTTTATTTTTAGAATAAAGGAATAAAACTTGATAATAATAATTTCATTAAAATACATTGATAATAAAGTGGTTTAATTAAATTTTAAATGTAATGTAGTACCAATGCAGAAAGTAATTTAAAAAAGTAGCACAGGCTATAGGATTAATCTCTCTTCTCACTCCTTCGCTCTTCACCTTTCTTTCCTTTTCTTCTCCCCTGACCCCATCTATGGTCTTTTGCACCCAGTCCATTGTTAGCTATGGTCAATGTGTTGAACACCTTCCTACATGTTTCTCACCCTGTCCTCTCTTTGTCTTCTTTGTCCCATTTGTTTTTGTTTGCACTTTCCCATTCCTTGCTTTTTCCTTCATCTCTGTGTTAGCCTTTTTCATATTCATTATTATCATATGTGCCTTCACTTGCCATATTTATCACCTTTGGCTGGCTTTCCTTTCTTTGACTATTTATATCTATTACCCATTTTGGGATGTTTCCTTTTCTTCTACCCCCCTCTTTTTATGGTAGCTGCTAAGTTGGAGGAGGGGGTCTTGTCTTGGGATCTGGATCCTTTCTCACACCCACTCAGTGTTGGGTACTTACAGACACTTCATTCTTCTCTTATCTCAACTGACTTCAGCCTATCTTCTTTGCCTGTGAACTATGGTTTATCTTGTCACTGGATTTTACACTTCTTGTTCTTTCCCTGCATGAGAGGTTTTTTCCCTTTTGGGGACTCTGGCTTCATTAGAACCTCTCCTTCATTTAAGACATCCCCTCATTTTTCTCCTACAGTGGACCTTATGAACCCTGGGTATACTTTGTATTATTCCTAGGAATTAACAGGATGACTGGGCCTTGCCTGTCCTACTTTCTATGTTCCTTACCACCTCTCCAACCAATCCTCTCCCTCCTTCAAAGCCTCTCTCTCTGATTGGGGTACATTTTTGTGGGGGCAAGTCTTCCAACATTTGTACATTGGACTAGTGTCTCCTCCCCATCAACATGCTTGACCTTTATGCTCCTATTGACAGTTAGTTCCCTTGGTCATGCTCCACTCAACCTTTTCTCTGGCCTTTCTTTGTTACAACCACCTTTGTGGCTCCTTCTCTGGAATCTTTTTGTTTTCAGGTGCTAATTATACACTTCTGTGCCTGTTTACATCCTTTACTGGGAGGTTTCTTATTGGCGAGCTACCTATCTTGACCAGTCCTTATTCTGTCAACAGAGTAGCTTCTGCATCCCCAGATTTTCCCTGGGGGTTTACTCTTGATTGGAAGTGTCCTTCTTGGACACTTTGTCACCCTTCTCTGCTCTTGGCTTCCTATCTTACACTTCTCTATTCCATTTTCTTCAGCTCTAGCTGTCATTTTTCTCATCCAGGCCTGGTCTTACCTGTTTCTCTATACCTACTCTCTTATTTGTCTCATTCTTCTTGATCCTGGATTTACACTCGTCTGTCCTTCATGGGCCCTCTTGTTGGAGCTTCTCTGACTGCTTTGGTCCTGATATGCTTGTTAATTGAACCTCTCCTTTCCCTCATCAGTATCTCTTCTCTTTCTTAGTTCACACACACTTTCACTTCCCTTCTTCACTGAGAGTTTTCTTCTTTCCACTCTTATGCATTGAATGTGCATGGTCTGTCAGCCAATCAACTGGATTTTCCACTACTGAGGCAATATTCCCCTTCCTCTCTTCCTTCCACTGTATTTCTCTGTTGCCATTGGTGGCAGGTTTTTTGTCATTGGTCCTTCTGCCACCCATTTCCTCCAGGCAGTAATTCTGTGCATCACCTTTCTAACCAGCCTGTTCATTGAAGGATTCTTGGTCTCAGCCTTTCTTAGTTGTCGAGTGGCCATGTCCATGAGTTTTCTCCTTTCCCAGTACCAAAATATGTTCTCTTATCCAGTTTTTTTTATTCTGTCCCACTCATCTATCTTCCTCATCCTGTTCATTTACCTGACTGGAACTTTGTTGGGGCTTTGCTTGATCTCATGCATGCCCCATTTAAGCTACTGCTTTCTTTCCTTTTTTAACACCTTTCTCTCCTGACTTATTCCATCCTCTTTATTTTCTGTGTTTAGTGTTGTTCTTCTATATGTTCTCCAGGTGTTTCTCATACCTTCTTCTACCACACTTCTCCTTTCCTCTCTCTGGACTGATTCTTTCTTCTTTGGTCTTCAACTGTTTGGAGGTAAACCATGTTTCTCTCCCGTTTCCCTTCCTTCCTTCTCCTCTTTACAATTGGGCCATCCAGATCCAGCTTGGCTTCTGTTCTGTTGGATAGTTCTGAATACTCTATCACAGACCTAGTACTTTAAGGGTCCCCATCATCCTTTTCCATTCTTATCCTGGGACCCCTATTTTCTATGAACCTTGTTCCTTTTTCATTTTCAGGATGGGCCCATTGACTTCCTGTTGTCTCGTTCGTCTCAGGATGTTGATGCTTGCATTCTATTCGTCACTCTTTTCATTCACTTCCATCTCTTCTTTTCCAGGTGGGCATGAGGACTTTCTTCACACATCCATCTCCATCTCTGTACCTTCTGGCTGTTTTATATCCTGATAATTCTTCTATTGCTTCACCATTTTGGGTAGAATGTGCACCACCATTTCCCTTTCATTCAGTAGGTTCCCAGTGGGCAGATAGTTTTGCTTCCCGGGATATACATACCAAAAATCTGCATTGAGCCAGAATAATGGAAAGCACTTACACCATCTGCCTGGCTTTACATTGTGCCTACTGCGAGTTGTGGTGTTCTGCAAGACCAGTTGAGGTTTTCCCGTAGTATGTGTATTTCTATCTATATCACATTTTTTGTCCAAATCAGACGTGCTTATTTCAGGAATATCATGGAAAAAGCCAGTGTCAGAGGAGTGTTTCTGCTCACTTCTCCAGTTCATGCATGCTGGCTTTTAAAAATAGGGTTTCGAAGTCACCCATTGCAGTATCTCTAGTAAAAGACCTTTCCAAACTGAAGGACCAATGGGGTACATTCTAACCCCCCCCCCTCCCTTATTGAGTAGAGTACAGAAGACACTTACCAGTTCCTAGCTGCTGGGCTAGTAGGTTATGGAGAATCCTCACCAGTTGCGACCTAATTGCTGGGGCTGGAGTAAGGGGTTCCATTACAGTGAGAAGTGGGACTGTGGTGACACTGAGAGTGTAGTGTGGGTCACCCCACATATATAAATATCTGTGAAACATCACAAACTACATATGGACATATGATACAACTCACTATGCCAATACCTATATCTCACAAGTCCTCCTTCTGCAGCTAGTGGGCCCTTGGAGACTGACGGTAGAGTTGAGGTGAACACACTATACATACTACTTATGTATATCTCACACACTACTCTTGCAACTGGCAAGGAGCCCATAGATAATAATGGTCAAGTAGAAGTGTGAATAAGTATCCATATTGAGACAAATTCATACACTGTGCTCCTCCTGCAGCTGGCATGGGGCCCGTAGAAACTGGTGGTTGAGGAGGAGATCATGGATACATATCACAAGTGCCCTTGTTCCACAGCTGGTTTTGGCCTGTCAGATGTGCTTGTAGAGGAGATGAACAAAAAAGGTATGGTTTGAAGAAGCCCCAACCTCACTACACATCTTGGCTGTCCAACATCTTGTGTGCAAGTACTTGAATGGCCATGTACTAATTCTGCCTGCAAGTGACACAAATCTGGTTTATTTGCTTCTCTTCTTTCCTATGTAGGCAAAGAGTATACCCTGGATGAGACAAGGTCTGATCTCCTATGGATGTTCCCTTATGGAGCCCCTGCCTTTGGGTGTCATGTCCCATGGGCTTCCTTCAGACACTTTCTGAAGGGGTCTCATCTAAGCACTCTTTGCACCAGTCTCTCCACCATCTCAATGTGGGATTCTAAGTCTATTTGTGTGGTGGGGAGTATTCGTTTCAGTTAACGTTTTCCTTACCTGAAAATGTATTTCCAGTAGATACCTCCATACACATTCCCATACATCTTCCTCACTTCCAGTGCACATTTCTTACTTGCCTCTTCAAAGAATGAAGATTCACGAGTGCATATGTATAGGGGAGTTAGTGTGCATGTAGGTGTGTTGCTCTGCTATTGATAGAGGGCTTTTTCTGCATGATGACATCATGCAGTGGTGCAAGTTCATGTGAAATTTAGTGGGAATTTTTACAAGTCTAGTGGCATGCAAGTCTCTTTGGCAGATTGTATGGAAGAGCAGTGGAAGATAGTTACACTGTGTGTGGAAGTGATTATCAGAAATGCATTTTCATGTAAGGAAAATGTTAAATTTAAAATGTTAAATGTGTTTGCAGAAAGTTATAGATTTGAATTGTATGATATGCATTTAGAACATATTCAAGATTTTAATTTCATTAGAAATGTTCTTCTTTTTCCAGTTTTCTGTCAGGAATGATTACTTTTATCATCGTCTTTTGTTCCCTGATGATACTGGTTGTTGGTGTATTACTTTTATTACTTAAATTTTGGATTCAACAAAAAGTGAAAAAAGCAGTTTCCCAGAAGGAAAATGGTGATAAACAGTGTTGTGTTGGATTTTTTCATCCCTACTGCAATGCTGGAGGTGGTGGTGAGAGAGTATTATGGTCTGCAATAAAATCTCTTCAGACAAAGTAAGTATTATTAATTCATTGTCACTTTCACTATACTAGTGTAAAGGGCAACCACCAAATATGATGCTTTTATCAAAAAAGACATAGAATTCTATTTTTGCTCATTAAAAACACCTAAAAGCCAGCTATAAAAAAAAAGAAAATTATAAGAGATTCCTAATAATATAAATAATGTAGTTAAGCCAGTCATATATATATATATATATAAATGAACAAAAAACAAATTGGCAACTTTGACCATGTGTTTAACAAGTCTTGACTTTTATCTTTTACACCCATTGATATCTTCATATACAGTGAAACACAACTCTTTAAAACGTTTGAAGAAATTGATCTTTGTTGTTATGTGAACCAGATAGACTTGACAAAATATAATCATCTACATACAGCTGAGATTTAGTTTATTTGCATAAAGTGTTCACAAATTGATTTTATTTTTCTGGTGTTGTCATAAGACTTTTCTTAAAAGTTATGAAATGTTTATATTTCTAATTTTGCACCTTCTACATACTTGTTGAAATTAACCCTTTCCAGATAGTGAGCATCTTTCAGGTATTAATGCACAGTTGCATAAACAATTTCAATGTTTAAGTATATAATTCTAAATATTTCAACAATTTTGTACTCAAAAACATGTTAGAATTTATATTTTGTTATTTTGTAACTTTTATTTAGAATAATTTGTTAATCAACTCTAATAATACAGGTAATAAATTAATGATAGCAACTGTGTACCCATAGTTACTTTGGTATGCCCTTAATTCTTGTACAAATTTAGTAAGGACTGAGAGAGTATAATCTCCATGTTTAAGTCATACTCATGATAGAGCTATCAATAATTTTGTATATAAAGGTACTTGAGATCTGCTTCGTGGCTTATGTACTCTCAATAATTTAACCAAAATTAGAAAACTCGTAAACATTGTCCAGGTAGAATTGTTGTTTTTTGTACTGTAATTGCCACTGTATAGTAGGTACGTTTTACTGTTTAGTTAACTGGTCATCATGTGCATCAACCTCCACTAGTGAAATGCAATGTAGTAATCTTATTAGATATCCTAAGAAGAGTACTGCTTGTTACATGTTTAAATAATTTACTCATAGTAAACAGCCTATATGTTTTTTATTCTGAAAACTCAAGAGTGTAGTGGGTGATAATTGCTATACTAATAGACAAATAGTTAGACTTTTTTAATCTTAACTGTTTTTTTTCTGCCAGTTAAGCTTGAGATTTTTCTGAATTTCTGACTAACTATACTTTTTTTTCATTTTTAGGGGAAAGATAAAAAAAAAATCTTTATTAGATTTTGCTCTCTTGGTTTTGTTTTTGTAGATAGTTTGTTATCTCAGTTCTATAACCCTTTCCAACAAAGATGTAAACAAATAAAGGAAGCTTTTAATTCAGAGTATTAATTTTTGACACAAAGATCTAATCTAAATGTGGATTTTAATGCTAAAACTTATTTCCTTTATTTTGAGTTTCATATTTCAACCTTTTCATTTGAACAATAAGCAGACCACCTATAGCTCAAATTACAAACTACGTAACACTCCAGTAGCATGTATTTGCAATATGGAGGCCAAAACTACACATAGTATTTCAAATAGGAGCAGAAACTTGTATTAATCTACCTACTTCCTCTTTATCTCAAGATTTTTATAAATATTTTGCAAATTATTATATTTTATTTCTTAATAATCCACTAAGTTACAAAATTTCACTACAGAAATTGTAGAACAAGAACAATCATATCATGATAATGTCTTTCTACAAGAAAAAACGCTTGAATATTGTAAACAAATTTCACTGTAAGATGCGAAAATTTAATCCCCACTTCTACCATCACTCCCATTTTTTTTCTATTTTTAATTTTTACTTCAACTGTTTGAAGTTTTGGTAATAAGTAAAGTACAAAACAGTCAGTAAAACATTGTATTCTATTTTTTAATTCCATTTTCAGCTATTTTGTACCTTATTTTTCGACATTCATGCTAAGTATTGCTTATTTAAATGACAAGTTCTCAAATGCCTTTCTAAATGATTTCCAACAAGACTCCAACACCATGCTGTTAACAGAAGTCCAACTGATAGGTCTGTAGTTTCCTTGGTTCTCCCTCAACCCCTTCATTTTTTAAAATAAGAGTGCACTAACAGTCATATCCAGAAACTTTTCTTATGTCAAGCGTTGTTTATAAAATAACTGGTAAAAACGCCTACCACATCTTTACTTAGTGTTTATATAAGGTTTTAGAATAGATGCTCTATGACTGATGGTGTTACTTTGAAGAAACATCTTAAACTTTTAACAAAACCACTTTTTAGTAAGTAAAAATATAATATAGTAAAAATCCTTCCCATTTTAAAAAATACCGATCAGTCTAGGTACATGAATGTCTTAATTTCCTTCATAATATGGTTGTGATTGGAATATTGTAAAAGGTCCAATATTATTTTCATCTTTCTCTATGTCCCAGATCGCTCATTGGTAATACTGAGGGTTTTTAAGGACTAAAATTGCATTTCAGTATTTTAGAGATGGGGGTGCAAGGGGGTCTTGAAACCTTATAAGTGTAGTGAGTGTTGGTATAATAAGCCTAAAGTATAGATGTAGTGTTTGGATCACCTAGCCTAGAGTCAAGTGCATAAAATTTATCACAAAAGTAAAAATATTGATTCAATTTTAAACTTAAATCATTTCTGAATTTGGCTATTTTCTGTTATATCACTAATGTTTTTAAATAAAAAACAAATCTCTTTAATCAACAGACTCTAAATTAAGAAATCAACAAATATTTTTGCCAGTTTTGTTGTTTATACATTTCATTTTATACTTTCAGTGCATAGACTAACAACAATATTAGGTTATACTTTTGTTGCTAAGCAACATGACATAAAAGCCATTGTTGGAACATAGTGTTACCAAAAATGCACTGCCTTTTCTATATATATATTAGAAGTTGTTAATCTAACTGATTTTTACCAATAATTACTCTATGAATATGTCACAAATTTATTTTATGAATGATCTTAATTTTGATTGGCTCACAAAGGTATATACCGATGTTTGACTATCTTGACTGCACTTTTCTGCCTCTTTGTTGATCAAGCTTGATTTTGCAAAATTTATTTATTTCAGTTTACTATGAAATGTGAGGTTAGGGTAAACTAAACTATGGGGTGGGGTAATATTACTTAATCATTTTTGAAGGGCTATATGCTACTAATAAATAAATGACACACAATGTTAAAATGAATACACAATTAAAAACATGTTTCGACATTTACTACCTGATGATGTCATGGTAAAAACATCAAAACATATAGACTCCACATTTTAGAAATGTTTTAATTGTGTATTTATTTTATCATCTCTCTCTCTCTCTGTCTTTTTCAGTTCATATAAACATAACATTTTCAGTCATATTTCATGTTTTCAGATAAGGTAAGACATAATTCTTTAAATATATGTTTAAAATTTGTACTTAAAATGCTAATATTGTACATTAAAGTTGTGCTATTTATTGTTTCAGTTATTCACTTCTTGAAACTAGTTTCATAAATTGGAAAATATAACATTTAACATCCTGTAAAATGTTAGAGGAGAGAAATAGTAATTAAAATAAATATTGGTTAACATAGGTTTGTCTTTTCTTGAAGGTATTCTCACGTTGAGTGCACTGTCTACACTGGGGATTCTGATGTTACTTCTGAAGAGATTTTGGCTCAGGCTGAAGCAAGATTCAACATTCATTTAACAAAGCCTGTTCAGTTTGTGTTTTTGTCCCGACGTCGATGGGTAGAAGCAAGCATGTACCCTTATTTTACTCTTCTCGGCCAAAGTTTAGGATCCATGTATTTAGCACTTGAAGCTCTTTTTAAGTTTGTACCTGATGTATATATTGATAGCATGGGATATGCTTTTACTGTTCCTTTATTCAAATATTTTGGTGGTTGCAGAATAGCTTGTTATGTACATTATCCCACAATCAGTACTGATATGTTGGAAAGAGTTTCACACCAAGTGGAAGCACACAACAATAGATCCTTTATTTCCAGAAGTCCTCTTTTGTCTGCATTTAAACTTCGATATTACCAAATGTTTGCATCTTTATATGGTCTTGTTGGCCGATGTTCAGACATTGTTCTTGTTAATTCCAGTTGGACCCAAGGACACATTCTTTCTCTATGGAATTTACCATCCACCACTTTTCTTGTGTATCCACCATGTGACGTCAAAGAATTTAAAAAAATTTCATTGGAAAAAAATAACACTAGGTCAGATTGTTTGAAAATAATTTCTATAGGCCAGTTTAGACCAGAAAAAGACCATCCCCTTCAGATTAAGGCTTTCAGTGAGTTCTTAAAAAGAAGATCTGGACAAAAAATGCAGCCAATTAAATTAGTAATAGTTGGAAGTTGTCGCAATAAAGAAGATGAAGAGAGAGTAAATCAGTTACAAGACCTTTGTCATAGTTTAGACGTTGTTGAAAATGTGGAATTTAAAATCAACATATCGTATTCTGATTTATTGTTGGAAATGAAAGAGGCAACAATTGGCCTACACACAATGTGGAATGAACACTTTGGAATAGGTAAGATTAAAAAGTTATGCTTTTGAAAATCATAACATAATGACCATGAGTTTACTTAAACATTGTGAAGTACTTGTTTGATTTTACTTACAGGACTGTGTATTATTTTGCTGTATTTCAACACCTTAAAGGCTCATGGCATTCTTATCTATTATCATAACCATTCTCAAGCAGCAAATTTGGCAAAACAAGTTATTCAAATACAAATGTTCACTGCTTGTCTTGTCAGTTTAATAACTTGAAAGATCACTAGAAATAATTACTACATGTATACATTCATTTGTGAACGGCATTAAATAAAATTATATTCCCACACAAAGAACCTACTCCAAACTATTTTTTTCTTAAATATCAAATGGAAAATAAGTCTTCATATGGTTAACCATTAACAGAAACTTCCCATTTTTTGTTACTTTTCTTCAAGTAATTTCAGCTACCTTTTAAGTTGCAATTATAAATATCAATCATAGTGTTTTATAATTGTAATATATTTCCTGATATTCATGTTTTAACAACTCGATGAGTGATATGAGATTAGCTCACTCCTGCTCAATGTTAGATCTATGTTAGAAACTATTCCATGATAGACAGTACAAGGTGCAAGTCATCAATCTCAGCTGTAGATTTTGTTGCTTAAAGTGATTTTGCACTTTGGAAGCAAGAATAAATTCAAAATAAAGTTAGTGTATATAACAATAACTATATCATTGTTTTTTTTAAGTTGAAATTGATATAAACACTGCATTTTGAGAAGAAAAAAACAGAACATAATCTGTAGTTATCAAGATAGAATTTTGTGACAGACCAGCATTTTAAATTAAGTCTTCACACGCTTTTCACTAGATTATTAAATCAAATGTTTTCATTATCAGTCCCATTTCAGCCAGGCTGCTTTCTGTACCTGACTATTATTACTGAAATATTCTCCACTTCAATGTTTTACACACTCATTTATCTTGATATATATATAACATTTTAGTATTGTTTTTTAGAAAATAAGATATTATTATCCAGTACTATTTTTGTATGTTTATACGATAAATAGGTGGACCTCTTATTGGTTTTGAGTTGCAGTTGATATTTGACGGTGTAAACATCCTTCTTTGAAGTGACAAGTTATTTTTTGTGAAATGCTATGCCATGTTGAAATGTACATGTAACTAAAAAACTAGGAAAACTCATTCAAGATAATTTTTAGTGGGTCCATGTCCAGACAGACAGCAGTGTGTCATGCAGCCAAAACAACCTGCAGGATACACTGCATTATTGACACGAGTAATAGTTTAGCAATTTTCCACTATCTGTAGACTGTGGTAATCGAAGCTATCACATAATTTCATTGGATGTGTTCTGCTGGACCCTATCTTCACATACCATATTTCAAGGCAATCCATTAAAAAATACACGAGATATTAAATCTCAAATCTTGATTGAATTTCTACCTTTTTTTCTTTGCACCAAGAGTATGGACATTTTATTTGAGAGAAAAACATACTTGCCTTTCATGGATTGTTTTTCAAATTTGGTACACTAATAGATCTTTACAACCTATAATTAGGTGTCAAATTTGGTCTCAATATAAGCTACATGTACAAAGTTATTAAAAATTCACTCAATTTTGACCGAAATTTTTGCCCATGCCTGCCAAAAAGTCACATGAGCTACCAGTCTGAATTTTTTACTACAGCTTCATCTAAGAGTGAAGGTGAACGGTTTTTAGTTTTTTATCATTTGGATTAAAGATGGTTGATTTACAACAGCACAAGTATTGGTTAGGTCAAGTAAACTAGATTAGCAGTTTTTTGCTCAAGTTTTAAAAAAAAATCATACAGGTGGATGGTTAGTATTCGTTATTCATTGCCAACTTTTAAGCACAAATTTGCTATATTTTATGAAAGTTCCTAACTAAAGAGTTTTTATCGTCATATGATGCCCCCCAGTGGCACAGTAGTCTGTCTGCGGCCTTACAAAGCTAGAAACAGGGATTTTGATACCTCTAGTTGGCAAAACACAGATAGCCCATTGTGCAGCTTTGTGCTTAACTAACAAACAATAACAATCATCATGTGATATTAGCTAAAGCAATTAGCATAAATAATGATGCTTGATATGGCTATACCAAGTGCATGTGGGTGATGACAAGAAACTGTTAATCTAGTTTCCATGACGTTACTATAAAGGAAGTTAGTAACACTGTTTTAGACAGGAAAACTATAACATATATTTTAAAGAATCTGGTTGTTTCTGTAAGTTATAGGTCTGTTCCAAATAATAGGGTTGTGATCCTTTCATACTTGCTGTGGTTTGTGGTATGTATTGACAAAAGGTCATGTTGAACAAACAATTTGGCCTGACTAACTAATTGAATGAATATTTGCTGTAAAATTCTTATCAATGCTATC